CTGCTTTTTCTTGGTCAATCTCTGTGTAGAAATTCATTCCATTAGTTTGAGTTTGCCCATTTGCTCCTTGAAAATTATTCTTTTATTTCATTAATAGCTACGGTTTTCTGTTTCCATTCTTTTCATACTTTGATGTAGTATGCTGCTCTTTTTTCTTCAAGTATTTTTAAAGAAGTGATATCAGCCTTTTAAAAATACATTTAAAGCTATAAATTCACCTTTAAATACAGCATTAGTTGGAACCCTCAGATTTTAATTTTACTAGATTTTTAGCTTCTTTGTAAAAATATTTCCTCTTTTAATCTCTTTAAACCAGGTGTTGAGAAATATATTGCTGAATTTCTAAATAGGTAGTTATTTTCTAGCCTCTTTGTTGCTGGTTTCTTTTTAAAACCACTTGGTCAAATATATTCTGCATAATTTCTGTTTCTTGAAGTTTGTTGATACTGCTTCATCACATAGTAGATTGTGTACTTGAAAAGAATGTAGTTGTTGGCTATGGTATTCAGCCACTAAGGCATGATAAAGTCAAGCTTGTTAATTTTTTCCAAATCTTCTGTAATTCTTGATTTTTATCTACCAGTTATTAAGTTACTAAAGTGGATCAGATTTTCGCACTGTGACCCAATTTGTTTCTCCTGGGTCCATCAAGGCTTTGCATAATTCATTTTGGAGCTATGCTTTTGGATTCATATAAATTGATTTGTTTATCTTTCAGGTGATCTGAGCCTTTTTTTCCTGGGAGATGCTTTCTTTCAGGCGTCCTTCTTGAATTAAAACTTACTAGTTTACAGAGGTAGTGCCAGCTATTGTACCTCTCTTTTGATCAGGGTTTTCACTTTTCCCACCTTTATTTTTAAGGCGTGTTCATTACAAAGAAGTATAGCTACAGGCTTCTGCCTTGAATTTTGCAATAAGCATTAAAACAAAACAAAACAAAAACTAAAAGGGATCTGTTGATCCTGGAGACCTGCTGAATACAAAGGCAGGCAGAGGGCACCACATTTCCCTAATGCCTGCTATTGTGCAGGCAAACAGATTACAGCCCACAAACCATTCACCCCAGTGCAGTTAGCTGTGACTCAGGACACAGAGCTAACTGAAGGAGGACCCCGCTGCTGCCTGGAGCTGCTGCGGATGGGAAAACAGCAGACCAGCTCAACGAGGGATAAAGGAACTGGTTACTGTATCCAGGTTTAGAAAAGCTTAATCTCAGAGAGCATTTATGTAGCTGTCCTTATACAAATAAGAATAACATGTTCTATAAGGTTCTGATGTAGCAAAGGTAATTGAGTTGGGTGAGGTCACATAAACAGGTGTTACAGGAGAGACCTCCCAAGGTGGGTCCTACACCAAAATAGACCTGGCACCCAGAGTTGACCTCTGAACACATGGGGCGTGTAGGGTGGCATACTAGCACTTAGGTTGCTATTGCTGATGTAATGGTGACACCAAGGTAGCACTGAGTCTCGCGTGTGTGTGTGTGCCAGGGATCGAATTTACAACCTCTCGTTAGCCAAACAGGCACTCATGCTGCTGAGCTAAACCTCCAGCCTGTAGCACTAAGTCTTAGGAGCTTGTGTTTAAGGCCTTTTATATTTTCCCCTTGATTTGGACTTACCCTGTAATTAACTGAAGGGTAATGAGTAGGATTTGATCAGATGACAGTTTTATTTCCTAATACTTTTAAGAGGTTTTGGATAGCCTGTTCAGAATTTTGGTGCCTCCATAGGAATTACGTATTAGCCACAACACAATCTGCTATGATTATCATTTCAGAGGTAATTTTTAATCTCATGTATTTGCAAAATAATAGAAGACTGTTTGCTGTACTCATGAGTAAACAGCTTACTGATAAAGGAAAAACAAAAAACAAAAAACAAAAAAACAACTAGGCCTAGGGATTGTTTTTTTTTTTTCCTAAATCAGAGGAAAATCTGGCCCTGCCTTCTTGCCAAAAAGTGAACCCTGCTTTGTTTATTGCATTTACATCCTATCTTCCACAAAATCAGTAATCATTTCAGGCAATCTGGATAATTTGCACTTACCACAAATTGGATCAGAATTCTAGAGTCTGACTGACAGCAAAATTAAAATCATTCCAGTTATACCAATTTGTTAGCAATCTTGATGGTCTTGATTTTATTTTTTAATACTGTAAGCAAATAATCAAGTACTATACTGATTAAGTGGCTTTATGAGTAAATACGTATTTTCACTTTGTGCCTAACAGGTGCGAGGCAGAGTTTGGGTAAGGAATGGAGTGAGCTAGAAGCCATGGGGTGCCCTCGTGTTAAATAAGACTGCATTTTTATTGCTCTTTATAGAAAACATGTTCTTTGGCACAAGCCTCACGTGGACTAGCAGGAACAGAACCCCTTAGAATGAAATTTAGAATACACTGTAGATAGATACCTGGACACTCCTACAGGACTACAAGCAATCTGATAGGTAAATGTCCTTTACCTAGCTCCTTGTAATTAAAATCGTGTTTGTGAAAAGACTGTTCAAATTGGTGATGTTAGCCTAAAATACTCATTCTAGAAGAGAGTCTTTCTGGGAAAATTTTATGTTCTTACCATGATTCAAATATAGATATAAACTGTGTAAATATTCAGTTCTCCACTTTGTATCCTGGGGTTTTATATTTGTTAAAATTAAATTTGGCTCTTTTTTTACCCCTAAGTTGTTTTGCTTTTAGGTTTAAAACTCATCTTTCTTACGAAACATTGTTTTAAACTTAGAGCAATATTTGTTTAATCAACTTGTATCAGTGTGCTCTATTGCGAGCATTTTAAAGGCATTTTCATGCTTTCTCTGCTTTACTGTTACTCCCTGAGTAGCTGGGAGTCAAAGAGTGGTCCTCCCATGGGAGAGGTCAGTACAGCAAAAAAACTCAACAAAAATGCCAAATGCAGAGAAAGGGGGAAATAACTGTATGTAAAGTAATGTATATATATGTAGTATTTTTTTTCAAATCTTATATGTTACACGTATATGGGATACACTGTCATGTAGAGATTAAGAGAACAGATTTGGGATTAAAATGACTGAGAGATCTGATTTTGGACAGTTACTTAACTCTCTGAGCCTCAGTTTCCTCCTTCATAAAGGTGGGTGGTAGTCCCTACTGTTTTGATTTGCGGTGAAAATGAAGTCAGCTAATGTGTGTGAAGTACTTAACAAAGGCACATCTCGTGAAGCATGATCTGTTTTTGGCATTTCAGGGAGTAGAACAGTTGTACTTCAGTTGTCAATGAGATAGTAGAAAATTTCTTCACTATTATAGGGACATTTACTATGTGTACATCAATACTAGCAATATAGTGTCTTATTTTTCTGATTTTGAGGGTAGTTTTTAAAACAAAATAACAGTTTTATAAGCTTCATTTTTTGCCTGTATCACTTGCATAGCTTTTTAGCAATTCACTTGTATTAAGTACGGTTTGCTGGGAACAGCTGCTTACCATCCTTTCTCCGGATAAGGAGACGTGCGACGTCCCTTTTGCAAGTGACGGTGACTTAAGCCCCAAACCTATGTTTCCATGGTGCTGGGTGATTCTGCTGAGGGCAAGTGTTTGTCTGTCAGGTTGTAAACCTCAGAGGTCTCACACCAGGCTGAATGAATCACACACCCCTGACTTTGGACCCTCTCCACTGAGTCAGCCTTGTACTTCCTTACCTGGTGGCCTCGCTGCATTCACATCACCTGGGACCATGGAACATGATTTTGTACTTTGCCTGATAAAGATGAACCTTAAACCAGCAGCATCCAGTGACTCGGATTCTATTCTGCTCACTGCCCTTTTAGACCATCAGAGTTTCCCAGGATGAAGCCTTTACTCAGGGGAGGTGATCCTCAAATGAACGTGCATAGAATTAACTGTTCACACAGGGCCGATCTTATAGTAAATGCCTGGTTAATGGCATCAGCTACTGTTCTCTTTATTTGCCTCCAAAGCAGACACTCAAATCTTATCAGAATGGGAAATTTAATGCAATCTAGGAGACAGGATCAAAAACAACAGCAAAAAATCTTAACAGACTTTGGAGGTTGCTTACTGGTTTTCAAAACTCTTACTCAGATTTCTAAAAAGAATTTAAACTCATCTGTCTTGTCTATTCTTTATTGGGCCTGTTGATGAACTCTGCTATCCCTCAAATTGGGATATTTAGAAGAAAAATTAAAAAAAATTATGACACTCAGTAAGCAAAATTATTTTATGAACAATAAAAAGGTCCCATCCAGGGGGGAGGGCAGCATAATGGCTAGTGACAGGAGAATCCCAGTTCCGTGAGTGATGACATGTAATTTTGATCAAGTTGCTTTTCCCTCCTTGTGCCTCGATGTCCCTTCCTGTGAAATAAGATGATGATACTACTCTGTAAGTGTGTTCTGAGATTTGAATGAGTGGATACATACAGCATGCTTAACATACAGCCACATGCATAGTCAGCATTCATTGATACTGACTAAGGGCAGAAAACCCAGAGAGGGGACTCCCTACTTCCAAAGGTGAAGATACAAATTCACTTACTCATTCTCCAAGCATTGATTTTGCGATGCGCCCCCTTTTTACCCATGCGGAGCTGAGGTTCCTGGATTCCTAGTCCGAAACCTGCTTGCTTGTTTCCTTCGTAACATCTACTGATTGAAGATAGCTTGGGATTCAGTCTTCTATGTTTCAGCTTTCTAATCCACTAAATAAGAAAGAAAAGCCATGCCTACATCCTCTGGCTAACAAACGTATCAAAATGTGTTAAACATTTTGTATTAAATGTACTGAAACAATCTCTTCCTGGTGTTTTGCCCACAGTAGCATGCGACACATATCCTCCGAGCCACCAACATCTTTGTTATTTCTTGGAGAGGGAAAGCAAGTGCTGTCCCATCCTAACAAGCCTTTCTGGAAATGAGTGGAGTCCTAACAAAACAATGCAGTAAGGACTGTTTTGGAAAGGACTCCTGATAAGTAGCCTATCTGTTTCTGCCGTTGCAGACATTCCTGCTTGTCATCAGTGTGATAGCCGTGGCCATAGCTGTGATTCCTTGGATTGCGATACCCATGATTCCCCTTGCCATCGTTTTCTTCTTTCTTCGGCGATACTTCTTGGAAACGTCAAGGGACGTCAAACGCCTGGAGTCTACAAGTGAGTACCGAGGAGAGGATCGCCAGTGGGTGCGGCAATGTGACGCAGCTTTGGTTTGTGCCGCGGTTAAGGAGATGCAGAAGTTTGCAGACTCAGTCTTTCAGAAAGTCTCTCTTTGTTACCATAAGGTAATTAAACACAGTCCTGGAGTCACCGTGAGTCATTGTGAGTGGAGCTGGTGGCCTTCCAGGTGCAGCTTTGCAGACTACTCTAAGGAATGACAGGCACATGTGTGGGACAGGACTCAGGTGGATTTCCCACAGACAGAGACCCTCTCTGTCTTGCTCATGACATATGTCCCTGCATACACAGGGCGGACACTCAGTCAGCATTTTTCTAATAAAACATCTCATCGTATATTGAACTAATTTAGAAAAAAAAAAAAAAAATCAGGAGATTTTCCTTTCCCGAAGGGACTGGAAATGACGAAAAGAAAAGAGTAAAGAAAGGAAAGGTAGAGGCGTAGGAAATGTAAGTCAAAAGTCAAGTGTTTGAAAAACATAATTGTGACCTATTGATAGTAAGTTGCAGTTGCTAAGTGCTTTGAAAACATAAGCATTGCTATCTTCAGTTTTGTTCCTCATTGTCAGTGATACTTCCTGTTGTGGCCTCATGGTTTGTTTTTTTCACCTAGGCCATTGATATACATGTATCCTGAGAAACCAGGTGGAATGCATTTTGTCTATTTATTGCTCTAACCTTTCTAGCTAGGCATACTGAGAAGAATGTCTTGTGACAAACACTGTATTCTGTAGATAATCACAGGGTGAATTAATCCAGAGCTCAACCGTTTATGAATGCACAACTAACATACTTCATTATTATTAAAATTTAAAACCATAGGGAGGATAAAATTGTTCATTTTTTAAAAAGGTCTAAGGACCATCCCCAAACAGTAAAAAAGGAAACTATCCTATCAAAAAACCTCTGTGATAAATAGCTAGTGAAACTGAATGCCAGCTCATCCATTTGCAAACCAAACCAAGAAGAGAAGAATCGTGAGTCCCCCAACTCTAGTATCTACTAAGAAAAAAAAAAAAAAAAATGTAAGTTCATCAGGACAAAGGTGTTCTTGTCTCATTGCATATGTGTCTCCTTTTTAATAATAAACTCTAACGAGCCATTGGTTATAACGGTCTGTATAAACTGGAGCAAGTGAAGATTCCTAAAATGTATTTGGTGGATCTGCTGAACCACTGCATGGTCCTGTCCCATGAGGTGTTTCCACGGTAGGCAGAGTGGTGAGGTTCGTATATATGGTGAGGTTCACTCTGCTGAGGTGACTTGGGTTACAGTGACAGGACTCAGGCTGGCCATGGTGGATTGCATTGCTGGAGACCCTCCTTTGTGCATTTCATTAGCCTCAGGTTTTTTGTATAGACATAAGCCTTTAGGTGTAAGTTGAGGCCACTTATGAAATGAAGTCATTCAACAGTTTTTGAAGCCTCAAGTATATTTGAGGAAGGGCTATTCTTTCCAGAAGGAACACCTTGATTTAGATTTTTATCTGTGGCAAGAGCTGCTTCCCATCCATGTAGAAGGAGAAAGAGAGGACTTACTACAGCTTTTTGCAAGCCAGGTGTCGTGGCTCATGCCTGTAATCCCAACACTCTGGAGGCTGAGGCAGGAGGATTGCTGTGAATTTGAGGTCAGCTTGAGCTATGTAGGCTTGAACTACATGGTGAGACCCTGTCTCAAAAACAAATAAATAAATACATTTATTTATTTTAAAAATTAAAGCTTTTTTCAAGCAGCAGGTAGAATTTTCTTTCCTGAAGCTCAGAGCATAACCTAATTTCATCATAATTTTGATGTGGAGAGTCTTACAACTTAATCATGGCCCTTATGGAGAATTTGGGTTTTTCTGTACCCATGTTGGCTATGACAAGGAGTTAAATGTGGGTATTCCTTTCTCTACATCCCCAAACAACCAAAGGAAGCATTTATTGGCACCCATCTGGGTATGGGTTTGTGTCATAAGTGATAGCTCTATTGTTTTTTTCTAAGCAATAATTGCTAGTGATTTTTGAGGCTACCGATGTAATCACTAGCTAAAAGAAGGCTGCCCAATGACTGTGGCAAGAAGCATAGACCTACTTCATCCTTGTGCTGGGAGGGACTCATACAGCCTCAAGATCTATTTTCAGAGACCGCTGCCTGACTGTCTTTGGAAGCATAGGCTGACATTTAAGCACTCTTAACAATAGTTGGCCATAATGACTTTCATTTTTTCAAAGACAGATAGATGTAGCAACAGTCATACAGAGGTGCATAAAACCAGGATGGCGTTTGGATGCATTTCTCTAGCCAACCCAGTGCCTGAATTGTGAGCCTTAACTGTATTCTCTCCTAGAGGGTTCTGTGATCCATTAGCAATGTCTGCCACAGGCACCCATTTGCAAGCAGAGCATTAACATGTGCTCTTGTTCTCAGACCATAGATCCTTAAAGTTGCTGTTTTTAAAAGTTCCCATGCCAGCTTTCCAGAGCAAGTGTTCAATTTTGAGAAGCCTAAAGGGTATTAGTAAAGTAAGAGTTGGAAGTTTTCTAACTATGAGCTACAGTCTAGAGAAAAGTATGTCTAAAAGCACATGAGCACTTTAACTCTTAATTATTGGCCCCTTGGAACTCTGACTCAGATTAAAAAGCACAGCCTTGGGAGTAAGGGATGGGTCTGGCACCCAACTGTACTACTTGGAATAATTTCTTTAATCACAGGCGGTATTGTTAATGCCTCAGGCCCATTTTCCTTTGTTAAGGCTACGCTAATCATACCTGTCCTGTGGGGCTGTCCTGTGGACTGCTCAAGACAGTGCCTGGAAAGTGCTTGCTGACAGCTATGAAAAGTACTAGAACCTTACACATAAGGGAATTAAAAACATAATAGTCAGAAAGTTAGTGTTACTGCCCAGGTCTCTGTCCTCCTCTTTCCCTGAAAAGGTACTGAGTCCTTCAGGGTGTGTCCTGAAGAATGCTTGGGGTACAGAAAGCATAGCTGTGGATCTTGTGAAGTGTAAGGTTATACCAATGTCACAGTATTACTCTGTCTATTTCAGGCTAGCCTTTCAGACCTGTGTAGGAAATAGGCAAGATAACTGGGGGCCTTGCCATGTGCTGACCCCCAAGACTAGTTAATTAGTCTTTGCATCCCTTCAGTACAACCCCCTGACAGTGAAGCAGGATTCTGTCTCATGGGTACAGACCCCTCCTGTACCTGGACAGCTCTATGGTGACGTAAAGGACATGACTTGGCCTTGGCTTTCCTGGTCCTCATGGCTGAGATGCAGTTGTAAAGTACACCCTGCCCTTAAGCCCAGCCCGAGAGAGCCAGTGGTGACTTTGGTCTCCTGATAGGGAACACAGGTAAAGACGGCCAAGCCAAAGGCTTCCTTTGAAGACCCTGCATGGGCAGCCATCACATCCGTCTCCATCTCAGAACTGTCATCTCTGATGAAATAGTGAACCCACCTGGTTCTGTAAAGGAGAGTGCATGGTTCTGAGTGTCCTGGGTTCTCTGGAGCTAGACCTTTGGTGTCCTCTAGGTAGGACATGGGCACGTGGAATCCTAGGCTCATCATCCCCAGCAGCACCCTGTTTGCAGAGTGACTGTGCTCTGGGACAAGGTGGAACATCTGCTGCAGTCTGCAGAAACAGCCTGTGGGACGCTCCAATTGTTCTTACTTGGAGTCTGAGCTCGGTCTTCTTACGTCACATTCCTATCTTAAAAGCGCAGAGGTGAAGGAAATAAATAGCAGTTAAAATATACATCCTGGTCAGCAGAGAGCTGCAGGGAAGAAGGGGCGGTCAGCAGGACTATGGCTGAGGTGTGGCACCTTCCGTGACCTGAGTGCTGTACACACTTGGAAGCCCTCTTCCCCCTTGCTTGTACAACTATAAACTGATTTATGAGGCAGCCCTGTGTCTCGGTACTCATGTATCCCAGGCCCCCCAAACACACACAGCAGCCACAGGCACGGTGAGAACATCTGTGTCAGAACACACTGTCATACAGACAAGCACTCGGATGCCCTGCAGAATAACTTCAGCTGTTTTTCTCTTGATTTTTACCTTCTTATCTTATAAAATCTACCCAGCCTCTTGTAAAATGAACGGGCTTCACTTCTCCTGATTACTCCAGGTTTCACCAACAAGACTTCTCTAGATGGGGACAGGTGACAAAGTTATCTGTCAGTGTTTCCTACCCGGAAAGCACAAATAGCTCATTCCAGACAGAGGTAAAGACTGCATGCTGGGCCCCACCCAGCCCAGTACAGCCCTGTTCTCAGTGCAGAGCGGGGACTATTGGAACCATCCTGCCTGGCAATGAGGTCCCCTCTGTGAGCCCAAGGGAGTGGGGCTTGGCTTGCTGATCAGGATCCAGTGCACTCCAAACATATGGCCAGTTATGGGGCAGATGTCCCAAATCAAAATGCAAATACACAAACTTTTCTAAATTCTGTTAAGATGATAAAGCCACTAAGGCCTCAGTCAGGTTTGGAGGCCAGGTGGCACTGTAACCTCCAAATACGAGGACAGGTTTCCAGTAGGGTAGTTACAGAAGCATCCTTCATAGTTTACAGTTGAGGTCAAGACCAGTCAGAGACGTGTTGGCTTAGCAGGATCTGTGGGCACAAGTACAGTGTGACTACCAGGTACACAGTGACTGTAAAGAACTCTTCTAGTGCCATCAACAGAGGAAGATTCTCCAGGGTGCAAGTAGGTGACACTGTTCATCTGTGTCAGATGCTGTTCTAGTTACTGGCCCAGTGTAGCTATGGCCTTGCCCCTAAATTGATAATCTAAGATGGAAGCAGACAAATAAATAGATTATCCTAATTCACTGTGATGCGTATTCTGAACAGAATCGTAAAATAATAATAATAATGCTACTGGCTTAGAAATCCGTGAAAAATAATTTCTTCCTAAAGAGATGTCCAGAAGAGTATGAAGCGAAAATGTCAAAGGATGGGTCAGCAAAGAGAGAATGATAACTAGATTTCAATTAGGTCAAAGGTGGGCAGAACAAGGACTTTAATTTCCCAGTCCTTAAAAGGAGGCAGGCTTTGTCCAGGGACTGAGTGTTGGTGGGCAGGGTCTTCTCCAGGTTGCTAGAAGTATTTCATCTGGAAACTCAGAGCCCCTTGCTTCACCTTTGGTGGGATGTGTGACCGTAGAGCACAGCGGGCAGCTGGTTTCTTGCATCCAGCCTTACCAGGCTTCCTCTGTTTTGTGTCTGTCTGTGTTTCTGCAGCACGGAGTCCGGTCTTTTCCCACTTATCCTCTTCCCTCCAGGGGCTCTGGACCATCCGGGCCTACAAGGCTGAAGAGAGGTGTCAGGAGCTGTTCGATGCCCACCAGGACCTACACTCAGGTCTGTGTGTGTCTGGAAGTGGCCTCAGAACCTGGAACCTAGTGCTTGCGTAGCAGGTAGCTTCTCTGCCTGCTGCTGGGCACTGCCCAAGTCCACCTTCGTGCATCTTCCTGCCTTTCTGCCCTTGGGCTTTAACTCATAGTATCTCTTTCTACTTTCCTGCTTTACCTCTGCCTGTTTGCATGGTCCTTCATCTCAATGCCCTGCGCTGTCTGTCCCTTTAGGGCACGGCTCAACAAACACTTTTTTTTCTTTTTCTTTTTTGCAGAAGGCTACCTAGCAGCAGCTCTTTCCTGTGCTGCTCTAACACAAAAACCAGTATAGACAGCATCTCATTCACTGTTCATGCTCCCATCAAACTGTTAATAAACAGATGATGAGCACATCTTGGCCCACAGGCTATGGATTACTGACCCTTGATTTTATACTTTGAGCATGTGAGACTTCAAAAGTGACAGAGAAAATCAGTGTTCTGGTGAACAGAATCTCTGTCCAGTGGATGTGTATTATTATTTGTATCGTTGAAGTTTCCTTTCACTTAGACTGCCAGATTTCCCCTGAATATACAAAATCCTGGCACATCTTTCCAATCTCTATTTTTTTTATGCCTGCGTGATTCTTGCAGGTCCTTTTTAGGAAGACAGTCATTCACCTGCAGCCCCTAAGCACCTTGCCTCCTGTGCAGGATCCTCTCACTATGGAAGGTGCTAGAAACAGATTGCAAGCTGTGTTCTCTGCTACTGAACTGAGAACCTTCTCTATGTGAACTGGTGACTTCACACGGTAGCCTGGCCTTGCAAGACCATTTCTTCCATGATTTTTATTTGCTTGTTTTGGTTTGGTTTAGTTTTTAAATTACAGTTGTGTTTCTGCCTATCACCTCTGGGTTGCATGTTCTAGCGCAACTTTTTTGCAAAGCCTCTGCACAGTTTTGTGTAAGTATCATGAATGCATTGCCCAGCTTTCCAGAACCTTCAGGTTCCTCGGGTGTGTGGCTTAACTGTGGTACTCTGTTTGCATTGTCATGCTGCTCACATTCACTGCAGTTCATGTGGGTTTTGTACTTACGCATCATGCTTGTTCTGGTTCCCAAATACAGAGGCTTGGTTCTTGTTCTTGACGACATCGCGATGGTTTGCTGTGCGTCTGGATGCCATCTGTGCCGTCTTTGTCATTGTTGTTACCTTCGGGTCCTTGATTTTGGCACAATGTAAGTGCAGATGTGAATAACAATTTATGGTATGATTACAATTTGTAGCTGTGTTTACAGTTATTAAATTAAACTCTTGCCACCTTGTGTAATGGTACATACTGTTTTTTTCTAATGAAGTGTATTAGAGCGTTTACAGCGTGTCAGCATGGATACAATTCCAGAGTGTGACCCATTTAGAGGAGTCATTGGGTCTTGACACATCTCTTTTATTTTCCTTTGAATAGCCTGAGATCTATGCAAATGACACTCTGGAAAGTCCTGGTTATATTTGGTAGTTGTGAGGCAAAAACTGAGATTACTATTAAGCATTTTGTCCTTAGGGCTTTAGATTTGTTTTGGGGCTACTTAGATTAGTGGCGGAGGTGCCCGTGTACTGCACTGAGACAGAATCTCAGCAGGAGTGTTGCTGTCATTGCCAGGTGGGTACCAGACCACCAGAGGTGGCACGTGTGGCGTGAATTCACCATCCCTAACTTCACTCATGGCACCACTGAATTATGGTATTTAATAATAGAACGATGGGAGTAATATTTTACTATGTAAAGCATTGTCTCTTGGACCCCAATGCCTTGTTTTTAGTGGTCTTCCATGGTGGTTGCCCTGGATGTAGAACATGTGGGGTGACATAATGGGTGGCAAGACCGTAATGATATATGTCTGAATAATGACATTGTTCCTCACATATCTAATGCTGTTTTTTCAAAACTATGCTGATCCTGTTGAGATTAATAAACTCATTCAATAAGCTTTCTGAAAGCATACTGGGTTTTTAAAATTACATCACAATCTCAATCAACAGATAGTAGAAGTGTAACTATTACTATCATCATACACAACTTGCTGGGTCCTCTTGGTAGAGTGGCAGAGGGTGCACATTTTGCAAATGAGATTGACTTTGTTTCCTCCTTCCTCCGTGTAGCTTTGAGTGCTGGGCAGGTTGGCTTGGCCTTGTCCTACGCCCTCACCCTCATGGGGATGTTCCAGTGGTCTGTTAGACAAAGCGCCGAAGTGGAGAATATGGTAATGTTTATCTGAACGTTCTTGGCCTTTTCAAGTCTCTTTGCCATGAAATGGCATAAAAGCAGTTCTTATGTAAAATATTAAAACTGTTATTTTTAATCGTAGCTTACAGAGTTTTTTAAAATCCTTCCTCCATCTGTTTAAAGTTAATGTAAAATAAAATATATACATCTTTTTCTCAGCCTCATGTATGCTATGTCAGCAGGTTTTATATTCATTACAAGCTGTCTTCAAATGTAATAAATGTCTCTGTAGGAGGCAAGTTCTGAAATCCTAGAGAGGATATAAGCTAATTTCTTAGAGGCCTGTTTATTTTTGTTTCTTAATGGGTAATTCCTCATTCTTGGTAAAAGAAGAATTTAATATTTTGAAGTTGTTTGTTTGTTTAATTAATAGGTCTCCCCTACTTCCTTTCTCCCACCCGCCCACCCTTACAGTTTTAGCATTTCTTCTATGTGAAGAGCACAAGGCAGAAAGCCCAGAATTTGCCGAAGTTTCTTTCTAGTAGACTAAGCACCTCTTTAATATGCTCCTCCAAGGAACTAAGCCCGAGGTTGTTTAGGAGAGACTTAATCGATATGTAAATTACTTCCTCTTTTAAATATTTACACCTTCTCCTAGAGAGAGATAAACAGTCAACATGAAATATTTCCATTTTGTTCTTCCCATAGAGTAGATATCGCAATGAGATTTGACTGCTGACTTCACTGATGTATAGCAGGTGACCACAGAAGAACCTTGATTGGCCATAAATAGTCCTTGCTTTTACAAAATCCTCTTTGTATTCAGTCTTAGACTATTGAAGGAATTAGTCATAAGTGAAGGTGTGACGCCATGACCAACACAATAGCAAAGCATCAAGATCATTCTCCATCTTTAGATGTTAAGACTTGGGGTATCCTCATCCAGCTGTGTGTGGGTTACCCTTGATCTCAGAGCATAGCACAAATATCTTGGACCCCCACAAACAAGGTTCTCCAGTCGTCACCTGTGTGGGTGCCATGTCTCTTTCAGATGATTTCAGTGGAGAGAGTGATTGAATACACAAATCTAGAAAAAGAAGCACCTTGGGAATACCAGAAACGCCCACCACCAGGCTGGCCCCATGAAGGAGTGATCATCTTTGATAATGTGAACTTTTCGTACAGCTTAGATGGGCCTGTGGTGCTAAAGCACCTGACAGCACTCATTAAATCAACAGAAAAGGTTGGTTCGAATCATCTTGCTTCTTCTAAGTTTCAAGTAAAATAAAAGGTTTAGTGCCACCTCTGCTTGTAAGCTTCCTGGTGGACCTATTGTCTGTCTGTGGGTACATGTGGGATCGGTGATGGTAGAGATGAGTCTTCCTTGGGAAGGGACAGTGGAATGAGGAGGCCAACATTTCCTTCTTGATGCTGAGAGCTGCTCGTGTAGTTGCTGGGCCCTGGACACCAGGATTAGGGTTTAACCTGGCTCAGGCTACTTGGGATGCTATTTTTGAACATCTAATTATTTGTGATTATATCTAGAAAATCAACTCTGGCTCCTTGTCACTGAGGTTCCTGTGTCTAATTCCTGCCAGGTCTTGTTCCTCATGTCACTCAAATGATGTTGTCCTTCATCCCCTGTCCTTTTCATTAGTCTGTCTCATCTCCTCCCCTATACTTTGCTTCTGCTCTGCTGGCCTCCCACAGCTTCCTGTCTCTGCCTAAAACATGGATCTGGTGCTCACGTGACTTCCTTCTGGCTCCTGGGCTGGGTGAGCCACTACTGTGACCTTGTTCAGACCCCAGGCCCAGGCCTCTCTGGCCAGAGCTACATAGCCAGTTCTCAACCACCAGGAAAGAGTGCAAGAGCCATAGTGCTGTCAGTGCCCAGCAGTCAGAGCCCCAAGCTGTAGGCACTATGGGGCCCAGAGTCCATGAAAGAAAAGCCGGGGGGGGGGGGCGCAAGAAATAATGGGAAGGCTTGGGACCTGGATATCTCAGCATCTACACCACCACTGTGTCGATTTCACCCCCTGGGGCAGGCTCCTGGTGAGACTAAACCAGAACAAAGCAAGGAGAGAGTCTTCCACTGGCCCTGGCTCCTGACATGGGCACGACCTCCACACCATGGTGTCCCCTGTCCTCCCAGACTTAACTGTTCTCCCAGCCACTCATGCACACTTGCTCCTGACTTTGGAGACCCTTTCTTGCTGCTCTTGGGGTGCAGAAAGCTTCCTCATTTTCAGCATCAGTGCAAATATCTGTGCATCTCTGAAAGTATCCGTTCTTCCACACCACCCTCTATAGACTTGTAGATCTTATTTGTTGTACACGCAGGTTCGTGGCAGCATTATCCATAACTGCTGAAAGGTGGGAGTAGCTTAGGTAACCATCGACAGTTAGATGAATGGTTGAGCCCTACATGTCTATTCCCAGTGGAATGTTATTTAGTCTTCAAAAGAAAGGAAATCCTGACTTGTGCTACAACAGGGATGGGACTAGAGGATATAGTGTTGAGTGAGAAAAGCCAGACATGGGAACAACATGGTACGAGTCCACTAATGTGCAGTGCTGAGAGTGATCCAAATACAATGGTAGTTGCCAGAGGCAGGGAGCTGGGAATGGGAGGTTGTTTAACACGTTCCTGCCTGTACCACTGGTGGTACATGCATGACCCTGCCGTGGAGTGGCTTGTACCAGCAGAGCGGACTGCCCCCTGCCCCGTGATGGGACAGTTGTGCATGTAACCACTGATAGTTCAAGCTGCCCAACAGCGAGACATGCAAATCATAGCCCAGCGTGAATCTGTTAGTGGGTACAGAGTTCCAGTTTTGCAAGGTAAGAAGAGCTCTGAAAGTGGATGGCACTGAAGGTCGCACTGCAGTGTGACCCTATTAATGTACACTTAAAAGTGGTTATTGTGGTGAATTTTAGGTCACTTTACCACAATTTTAAAAAATTTTGTGGGGCCTGATGACACATACCTGTACTCCCAGTACTCAGGAAACTGAGGCAGGAAGATCTTCACAAGTTTGAGATCATCCTGCGCTACATAGTGAGCTCCAGGACAGCCTGAATTACATAATCTTGTCTCAGAAAACAAAACAAAACAAAGCAAAACTCACAGTTACAAAAGAGACTATCATGGTGTGATTTGTATTCTGGTTTGTATCTTGTGGTACCTTGAGGCTTCCTAAGGCTGGGAAATACTTTCTATTCATCTGCTTCCCCAGTAAATGGCGTTCCTTGGGGCACATGGTGAGTGCCGAAGCAGCTGGCTGTGAGCATGAGTAATACTGGGTAGATACCTGTGATAGAACAGGTTTGCAGAGGCAGCTGTGAATGGCTTACTGCCTGGATGGGAGCGTTGAACCCTTTCTTTTCCTCTTCCTCCTCCTCCTCCTGTTCCTCTTCTTTCTTCCAGGACTGAGCATGCAACTCAGGGCATGCACCAAGGGCTCAACCACCGAGCTACAGCTCTTGCCCTGCAGTGCCAGACACTTCAGGAGCTGCTCCTTTAAACCCTTTCCACTCCAGGCCCTTGAATGGCCTCCACTCAGTCACGGTGTAATGAGTGATACCTTTGCAGCATGAAAGAATGAATGTACCAGTTGGTACCCAGAGGGAACAGCTTTAGTAAACCATCAGGCAAAAACAAAATCCTAATTATTTCCTCAGCTTCCTGGCAGGGCTAAAGGTGGTGAGGAAAACTTTGTGGGCCAGACGGGAGCTGCAGCTCTAAACACACACCTGACTCTCAAACTGTGGGGACATTTGCGTACTTGCAAACAGCGTATCAGGTCCAGCGCTGCCCATAACATTCTGTTAATTTGTACATGCCTCAGATATCCCTGGAAGCCACAAAATACATGAAACTTTGTACAACTAGAAATCCATATGTCCCCAGATTATTGTCTTTTTTTTTTCTTAAAGATTATTCAATCTTAAAATCCCCAACACCCAGGGTTACTTGAGATGCTAAAATGCTTGAAGATAAACCAGACTTGAAGACTGCATTTTAGCATCTACAATACTTTGACTTTTGATTTGTGTTTTGAACGACTCGGTAGTTAGGGATTATGTCCAGGGCATGTCCTTGTGGGATGATTGCCCTCTGCTTGTGACCCTGGGGTGTCATCTCCTCTGCCCCTGTCCAGTTCCTGGTTTGCAGCCAACCCTTTGGTCTTAGATTTGATCAGGAGAGGCAACATTCAGGGAAGACCCTGGAATGTACCGGCGGCAGAAAAGGAGCTTCATTTTCTCCCCAGTTTCCTCTGTTGAGATTTCTAGAAGTTACAGTAAATAGGAAAATATAATCGGCACTAAGCAGATTGCTAATTTAGGGAAGAAATTGCAAGTAAAAATAAAGACCAAAAATGAGGTAAATACCATCCGTGGCTTCCAGGTTAGATTTTAAACACTGGCTGCATTTTTTCATTTAGATGATTTTGTGGTTGATTTGATCATTTTAGAAAGTACTGGGCCATTTTAAAGCATTTTCCAGCTCTAGAGGTAGATTGATTTTGGTTTGTTATTCTTTTTTTTTTCTTGCTCAGAGCTATTACTTGGATAATACATTTTTACAGATGTGTACTAGACCTTGCTGTAATGTGCAAAAATATTAGTTTCCTGCATTTTTCCCCTTTTTACATTTTCCCCTTTTTCTCAGGGAGCCCTCCTCTCTGGGCCTGGTGCTCCCAATTCCTGGCCTGCTCCCCAGCCCTTGCTGGTCCAGCCACACCTTCTTCTTCTGGGAACTTCTTAGAAATGCAGATGCTCAGGCTCCTCCAGCCCTATATAGTCAGATTCACATTTGCATGAGACCTCCAGCAATTTTTCATTACCAGTAACTCATAGTTTCCAAAAAACTTCCTTCAGCACCTTGGAATTGAGCCCTTGGGTTATCCTAGCATCTCCCACAAGTGACGATGAGACTCTAGAAAGTCCTGGACCACTTACTACTATGTAGATTTTTTAAAACTTTATATTCTGCAAGCCCTAAGTTTATATTATGGTTTAATTACGCATGATCCCAGGTGATGCTTTTATGTGCCTCTTTCCAGTCAAGCCTGTCTTCTGCTGCAGAACACTGCATCTCTGATCCAGCTGTCCCCACATGCCTGTCCCTGGGTCTGTATCTCACAGTACCCCACTCAAGCGCTGCTAGATGTTGAGTGCTTTTCACTACCAGAGGGCATAAGAAAGTAGCTTCACTGCCCTAAACGGGGGACTGGGTCTGTCTTACCACCCAGGTGACCCAGCTGCATATTTCTCCCCAGCCTCCACGGTGGGCACCAGTCCTCCTCAGGACAACCACAGTCTTTGCGCATTCTTGTCCTGCCCCTGCCGTCATGCCCACCTGCATCTACAGTAGGTTCTACATGCCGAGAGATAGGTCTGCATGGAACCACACCTCTATCCGCTCTCCTGCCTAGGGAATCTGGTGCTGGGCCATCAGAGAGGGCAGGATGCAGGCCAACCTTCGTTCTAGTTGGACTCAAATTATTTCATAAAGAGTCATTAATCTTAACTAAGCCTTTTTTTTTCCTCTGGCAAAATGCAAATAATGGGACCTCACACTGAGTACTGTAGAGACTGACACCTTGATTAAAGGTTGCTGTCATTATCCTGGGGTGCAAGATAAACGTACCCACTTAAAAGGCATAGCTTGTTGTCTGCCCCATAAAAATGAAGTGTCAGCCACTGGCTGCCCTATTTATACAGTTATAGGAGTCATCTGCCGTATCTGTCTTCTATTCATTTATTGTATACCTGAAAAATCTGATGCTAATTCTAAAACTTTCTCAAGCCTGAGTTAAACTTCCAGCTTCCTATAGAACTCCTGTTTTTCACAGGACACCACAGCTAATACCAATGGAAAAAGATGTGTCCTTCCCTTGGCACTTGTAACCCAGCAGAAGGAAATAAGTAGTAGCTGGGTACGGTGGTGCACACATGCAATCCAGTATCCCAGGAGGCTGAGGCAGGAGGATCACAAATTTGAGCCTCCCCTGGGCATTTTAGTGACTTAGCAAGACTGTCTGGAGGAGAAAAGAAAAAGAAAGAAGGATAGGGAGCACAGAATGGCTACTTTATAAGACGGAAAGTGGTCACAGTTTATAGATGTTTAGGTAAAGACATCTATTACAGGTGGAAGTTGTCCACATGAGGGGACAGGTAGACTACTTCTATGGGATTCACCACTTGGAACAAACCTGAAGATAGTGGCTAAGATTTCAGCAGGAGGAGATGTGTGTGAAAGGCACTGAGGTGAGAGACCACCTTACGGTGAGCATAGGGCCAGGAGTCCCTGCAGATGAAGACTTGGGCACCTTCACAGGACACAGGGTGGGGGGACCTACCTACCAGGTGTGTGACACTTATTGTCAAGTTCAGGCCTCACGATAAGGTAGGGGCCTCAAGGAAGTGCTGTGGTAGATAAGGATGGAAAGGTTGGTCAGGAGAATTTGGAAGTGTCGATGTTTGGTGTGGGGCACCAGGTACACACCTCACAAGGGGAGTCTGAAAAGCCAGTATACAAAGATCCCAGCAGGGAGGCATGCAAGCCAGCAGCCTGATGCTGTACTAGCAGGACATGGTGGGGAAAGTGATTCTACTTTTGCAGACCAAACTAATGTCAATTCAGAGAAAGTTACAAGGTGCAGCTTTGCAAATGAGCAGGGAGCCGGGTGGCAATGGGAGAACCCTGTTACTGAACAGTGAGTTGGTACCTATCAGCTGCCTTTGAAGACATTTGTATCTGTTGCTCATTTGTATCAGTTCCATGTCTGAAAATTGACCTTAGGGAAATAATTAAGGTTGCAAAGATTTAGCTTCCATGGTACTTAACATGGTGTTACTTATAATAGCAAAATATTAGCCTGCACATTCACCAATAGAAAGTTCATTATATAAATGATCATATATACTGAAATATTTATATGGTCCTTAGAAGACAAAATTTTTATTAAGTAATACATGAAAACAGAGGAGAGCCATGGTAAAAAGGCTAGCTTTCCAAAGACAGGTTTAAAGGCACACTTCTCATTTTGTTTAAATGTATGAGTTTGTAACTTTAGAAACACACACACACACATATACCCACAGTACACCCAGATAAGAGGAATTGTTCTATCAGAGTGCTGGAGTTATGGCTAATATTTGTATACTTTTCCAGTTAATTTTCACTGATTATAATTGGGAAGAGTTTGGTTTATTTTGTTTTTAAAAGCCTTACACTAACGTAATAGCTGCTGGAATTAAAACAAGGGCACTGAGTCAGGAAATAAACAGAGAGTCTTCACGGCTGTGATACCAGGATGCCTTTGGAGGACACTGGGAACAAAGTGGGCATTAGAAGTCCAGCGATCCCTGTGGGAACATCTGGAGCGGCAGCTGTAGAGGGAGATGCTGGGTATGGATCCTGCTGGATTTGACAGATGGAGAGAGCTCTGAGTTAATGTCTGATACGTTGATGCGGTTTTCAGAGCCCAACCTTCGCCCACAGAGAAAACATAAAGGGGCTATTACAAAGTGATTAAAATGAGACTACTGGGTCTTACCGGGTTTTTCTGGTGGCATGAATTAGCAGTTGCCTCGCCTGGCATCTGGGAAAACCCGTTGGTGACCTGTGATAGTCTTTCAAACCATAGGTTTTTGTTTTTGTTGTTTTCTGTTTTTGAAAGAAAGAAAAACAAGAAGTTTTGTTTTCTGACAGTTCTGGAGGCTGGACCTTCAATAGCAGCTCACCACTAGGATTGGCTCCAGTGTGGCCTGGCAGGGCTCACAGATGGTCTTGTCCTCGTATCCTCGTGTGGACTTTCTGCATGCATTTAGACTGAGAGGGAGCTCTAGTGTCTCCTCCTTTAAAGACACCAGATCCACCGGACTAAGGAGCCACCCTATGACTTCATTTACTTTAATTATTTCCTTAAAGGCCCTGCCTCCTGATGTATTTACACTGGGGATTACGGCTTAAACACTGGTTTTGGGAGGACGCATTTCAATCCATAGTATTTGTGATGTTTCATTGAAAATTGGGCCTTTGAACTAATACCCATCTTACTTCCAGTACCCTCCGAGAGAAGACCACGTCTGTGCAAGGGAAAATCTCCAATAATAAACCTGACTTGAAGGCTTACAAGCCTACTAAGCCCTTTTTTGAGGCTACCAGATTATAGTTTTGATGACTTTGAGTAACAGAGAAACCTAGGTTTTCTTTGAGTTGCTTTTAGTTATCCTCACTTGGGCTTGAACCTGCGGTTGCATGTAGCTCTTGGTATTCCCTATGTGAAGGGGCTCATCTGGCTATTTACTAATGGTCTGCAGAGCTTTGGGCAGGTGCTAGTTTTCCATGGAGTCAGTAGCTTTTGAGTTCTGAGTGTTCAGACGTCCCACAGACATGGCATCTGCCTGCATCTTGGTGCACAGCTGTTTACACGTGAGAAGGCCCAGAGAAGACAGACACACACATGAGCCATGTGCATTTGCCCTGGGACACACAAATCCATGAGCTCAAAGTGGTCCATCTATAAAGTGCAGAGCAGGACTCCTATGAGGTAGATTATGACTGTAAAGATATTTTTAAACTTAGATAAAGCCACTTCTTATATTTAACCTCTGTAAAGATAATTTTGAAATGCCATTGCTGATTTTTATTTGAAAGGTTTCCAACAAGATGACATGTAGAATTCCCAGCATATAATCACAGCACAGCAAAGTTCAGTTCCTCACTGTTTAGAGCAGTGAGTTTTTAAATTTTACTGAATTAATTGAGAAATGGTGAAGACTTATCTCACACCCTTTGCTGATTCCAGATTTTTAAATTAAGATGCAGTCGTCTCCTAAGAAGCTCTCCTTCACCAGGGAATTTTCTGAGGAGACTCATGGTAAAAAGGCTAGCTTTCCAAAGACAGGTTTAAAGGCACACTTCTCAGAGGCCAGCTTTTACCAAACGGCCTGCTTCCTGACCCGCATTTTATCTACATTCTATTGATTCTTTGGTCTTACTGTCTGTGCACATCATTTCTCTTCAGCTTTGGTTTTTGTAAGAGGAATGATATTTGACATGAGTCTTTCCCAAGGGGCAGGTATTCATTGGTTTGTAAAATACCTTTTGAACTGTTCAGATTGAAAGGCCTCGTATAAATAGCGAATGTTATTTATGTTGTTGTTGTTGATCTTGTTACTCATGTTTTGGCTACTGGCTACTGTGTCTCAATACATAAGAGCCCTGGATTTTGAAATTTTAGGATATTTCCTTTTGAGGCAGAAGAACATAACAAAATTTAGTTTCTGTACCATGAGTAATTTATAAATGGTAGAACTCCAGAAAAATTACTACTTGTTCACGTGTAGCACTTCTGACTTGGGTCATTAACATCTCTGTGACATTATCCAAGACATTCTCAAGAATTCTTTGATCTTGGAGCTAAAAGCTCACCTAAAAGTTGGCTTCTCAAAACCACTTAGAGGACTGCTGGCTTTCCCCTGCTAGGAGACTGGTGGCTGATTCCAAATCTTTTGCTGACCAGAATCTTAACAGAGGCACATTTTCTCTGCAGGGTCACTTGTCTCTGTCTGACATTTTAGATTGTCACAGTTTGGGGCTGCTCCTGATAACTAGTAGGCAGAGGCCAGGGGTATCAGCAAACATCCCACAGGGCACAGGACAGCCCCAGCAAGAGGAATTCCCCCAGCCCCAAAGCTCAATAGTGCTGCAGTTGAGAAACTTTTAGATGACACTGTGTGAAATATCCACAGTTCACTTCAAAAGCCAGAAATACTCTCCTAGGTGTGTTGCATACAATTGATTTTTAATCCTTCCTCTTGGATCTCTCTATAGGTTGGAATTGTGGGAAGAACAGGAGCTGGAAAAAGCTCCCTCATCTCAGCCCTTTTTAGATTGTCAGAACCTGAAGGTAAAATTTGGATTGATAAGATCTTGACAACTGAAATTGGACTTCATGATTTAAGAAAGAAAATGTCAATCATACCTCAGGTATGCAAGTCAGAGCGTTCGTACATGTTTCTTTTATATGGGCACCTAAGTTCAATTGCTTTTCATTTTATTGGTCTCTTTTAATTGGATGAAAAGAATTGATCCTTTCCCCCAGTATAGTATACTTTAATAGGTGTTTCCAGCAAGAATTTTCATCAGATATTACAGTTTATTCATGTGTGTGGGGGCTGGGAGCAGATAGAGAGGACTGATTCAATAATAGCTACTTAGCCAGATAGATTTCTGGGCTCCACTTCCCTAGGTACCATAGTCTTATCCACTGATAACCGCGTAATTCTAAGGACAGAATGATAAATGGTTCGCTTAGCACTTGAGAGGTTTCTGTAGGGAAACTTGGAGTAAGTGTCTTAATGAGGGAATTTTGCTGTAGGAAGTAAAACTACCCTTTCAAGGGCGATTATCTCCACAGAGGGCCTTCTGTGAAACCATGGGACTGTGAGATTTACAGAGCTTACAGATGTTTCACAGACATTCTTAGGATGTAGGCATTAGTACACGATGTTAGCCAGGGAAGCAGTCAGTAGAGGACGGCCTAGAAGTCTAGGAATAGGAATTCCAGCTCGCTGTACTTCTGTTTCCTCTTGCTTACTGATCAGCTGGTGGTGCCACCTCTCCAGAGCTGGCAGTGTGTGTAGGGTGCTTCTCACAGACCTGGACCGTGTGCCGAAGTGGTGGAGACTTGCAGTGCCATCTCCTCTTGAGCTCTGATTTTATTTTCTTTTACTTCTTAATAGAAAACTTTCGGGGAGTGTTCTAGAGATTGGATTACATGCACAATAGAGGCTCCTGTCACTGCTTTCAGTTCATCTATTCAATGTAAATCCAGAAAGTATTTATTGAGTAATTACTGTCCTCCAGGGACAACACAAGGCCTGTCCCCACAGGTCTAAGGCCTGCAACTGTGGGGCTTCAAATCTTCCCTGTGCCCTCAGTGCTGACACTTGCACGTATTCAACTCCAGACTTGCTAGGTGGGGTTTCTGGGTATTTTTTTACACTCAATTGTTCAGCTATCTAGGGAGCTATGGAACACACACAAGTGCACACTTATTTCTGAGATGAAGAATACAGAGAGGGAACAAAAAAAAAAAAAAAAAAAAGAGAAGTGGGCACATGGCATATAAGTAGAAAGAGCCTTCAGATACTGTTTATTAGGAAGCACTGAGTCCCTGGTACCCAAAGGGAAGGAGAACACAGGCATTTATCTTATGACTGAGTATAGCTATGCTCCCTGCTGTTGGCCTCTCAGATGTTGGAATGACTTTGAATAGTTTTGAAATCAAGATACCCAGAATCACAGTGAGATACCACCTCACAATGGCTGCTATCAACAAAACAAAACAAAACAAAACAAAAATGTGTTAGGTGAGGATATGGAGATGTGTTAGGTGAGAATACAGAGAAACTGGTGGGGATATCCGCCATGCAGAATGGTCTGGCAACTCCTCACAAAGTAAAGCATGATCCTGCAATCATGCTGCAGAATACACCCCAAAGAATCAAAAGCAGAGTCTTGAGAGATAGTGCACCCCTGCTCCCAGCAGCACTGTTTGTCACAACCAAGAGGTGGACATTACCCAGGTGTTCATCAAGAGATGAACAGATAAGCAAAATGTGGTTTCTCCATTCAATGGAAAATTATTCAGCATTAAAAAGGAAGGAAATTCTCGTACATGCTACAACATGGATAAACTTTAAAGGCATTGTGTTTAAAGAAATAAACCAGTCACAACATAAATACTGAATGATTCTATTAATACGAGATATTCAGAGTCACAGAGACAGAATGGTGTTTGAGAAGAGCTGAGAGAAGGCACGACATGCTATTTTGTTTAATGGATACAGTTTCATAGCCTTTAGCATTATAAGGTAAAGAAAATCCTGTAAATAGTGGTGAAAAACACAGAACAATGTGAACATATTTAATACCCTGAACTGTGTAGTTAAAAATGGTCAAGGTGCTAAATTTCATGTAATGTGTATTTTCTCACAATTCAGAAAAAAGGGAAACCCTTTCAGGAAAAAAATAGGGAAAAATTTTTTTCAACAATGAGATTCACTCTGGCTTTTAAAAACATGATTTAGTGGTTACCATAGAAGAAGAGAACTTAAATTCCCAAGTTAGATCTTTTGGTTGTACGCATCCCAGAAATGGGCCAAAGAAGGTTTATTTAACAGAGACAATGGGCCTGCCTGTAAAGGGCTTTCATACCTTTGAATGAAAGCTCTAGAAACGTGCCCTGTGCTCCATTTAATGCTTCTTAATAAGAAATGGTTGTACGCCTGCCTGTGTACATAAAAGAGCTCTAAATAAAGAAGTAGCGTTAGATGACTCTTGGCTCTGCCAGGAATGTTTTGGAAGCACATCTGAGCAAAGACTAAGAACACCTTGACATCACCAGCTTTTGGTTCTGTTCCATAAGTTCCCACCCTCCTTTTGTGCAAAAGCTCTGTGTATCCACTCCAGAGAATGTACTTACAAAACAGTGCTAAGCTTTGTATCCGTGTAAGATCATGATCACCAAGCACTGTAAACATGGAACCTTTATATTTTGCCTGTATATGCCTTTGTCTCCAAGGCGCAACGTTGGTTAATACAAGAAACATACGGTAGGGTAGTGTGTAGCCTTGGGATGAGTGAAGGGTCCCGTGAGCCATTCAAGAGGAAGCCTGGGATGGACTTTTAACAGCGTGTACTGAGCATGAACGAGACCCACATAATTTGTCCCTCACTGCTATTCTGTGAGCATGTGACCTTGAAAATGTCACCTTGCCCTCAGTGTCCTCAAACCGAACTATTAATTCCTGCCTCACATATTTGTTATAAAGAATTGACTCCATGAAAACCCAGCCCCTGATTCTCAGAAATGTGTGAAAAATAGTAAGTTTATTAAGGATTAGGATACAGCCGTTTTAGTTATGATTGCTACTAAGGTAAAAGTGGGTCTTGGTTCATGGATCTCTCTGTGTTTTTTTGTAATCCTTGGTGATTTTTTAAAGCTGAATTATTTATGTAAGTATACATAAATAATTACGAGGCAGCTTCCCCAACACACACACTTAACAGGAGTTCTAGGGTAAGGCCTTGTGGAGAAATGGAACCATAGGCCAGGCCATCCCTTTGTCTTCCTGCCTTCCTCCCACCCTGGCTCACGCTGCTTCCGGACCCCCTCAGCGTCCTGCAGACCCTCAGAAGCCCATGGCCGTTGTCTCCAGCTTGCCCACATTTCTTACCACTTGCTCTCTCCTGGAGGACAGGGCTGCTGCCCTCCTTCTTGTAGCCCTGCTGTTTGTTGCCGTGTTGGTGAGCTCCCAAGAGGTTGTTTGCCCATTCTTTTGTTACTTTCACTTGACAGAGTTAAAAACTGAAGCACAAGAAAGCAGGAGAGACAGGCTTGGGGGCTACTGCAGGGAAATTGTTCACATGGAAGCTCCAAGCTGCCTGTGCTTGGAATGGCCTGTGGGAGCTGCAGGAAGAACTGTTCCAATTCCTGATACCCTGTAGTTTGTATGTGTGCCTGTCCCCACCCCACCATGTCCAGAAACAAAAATCTCATAAAACATCATCCCTCGCCACACTGCACTCTTGATATTTTCTATTATATCCATTCTATTCTAGTTCATATAAAAGACAAAGTGATGATCATGAGCCACAAAATTGATTTCATGATCTGTTGGTTGCACCTGCAGTCCGCACCACTGCCTTCTGTCCTACCCTGCGTGGCCAGCTCAGCACCGAGAAATGAGCTGGTGTATACTGTTCTTTCCACTGAGCTCTGCAAGGCGGGTAGGTCAAGTCCCGTGTCCCAGAAAGGAAACTGAGACCTGCAGACATCTGTAACTTACCTTCAGGCCAACAGCTAATCCATAGTTGAGTCAAAACTCAGGACTGTCAGACTCTAAAAATATTTTTTCTGTAAATATTTGTTGACAGCTGAATCACTTCTCATCAGATTTTTGTATATGTTTACTATGCCCCCCACTTAAAAAGGATCTGCAGGGCTGGGGGTTTAGCTCAGCGGCATAAGTGCCTGCCTTGAAAGCAGGCAGTCGTGAGTTCGATCCCCGGTACCAATAAAAAGGAAAAAGACAAAAAAAAAAAAAAAAAAAAAAGTAAAAAGGATCTGCAAAAGTCACAAGCAAAGAGAATAAGAGCAAAGTCGAAAGATACCTTCTTCTACAGTTTTGCTCCTCATTGACACAGTTCACTACAGGAGTTTTGAAAGACTAAATATTGGGGAAGGTTCTTTTGCAAAACAAAACTTGGGGCACTCAACACTAAAGGGAAATCAGGTTCACTTCTGATCAGTATCAGATACACTGCTTTCTGGAGCTCAGAGCCCTTTCTCTGACCATGTTTCAGTGGCTCCAGAGGCACAGCAAGCCTGTTGTCAAGGTGTCTTGAAAGTTACGGATCTGTAGTTCAGAAATCATTCATCTCTCCTTGAGCGAAATGAATTCAGGGCAGAGTTGCTTGCATCACAATACTCTGATGCAGGTCTAGTGGGATGTTTGGAGCAATGCAGTCGACTGGAAGCCAAATGCTGTTTTCCTCAATTGTGAGTGGTAGGTGAAGCAGGCCCATGTCTTCTCCCTGCCTGGAGAGATCTTCCCCGTCTCCTCTTCCATTGGTTCAGGGTCCTCACCCCTCTTGAACCTTCCATGATCAGCTCAGTGTTAGGGATTAGGGACCTTAGTAGGAGCATGAGAGTCACTTTTTGATCAAACTCGTGTCCTTAAGAAAGGACTCCTTTGTAGGTATTCAAAATTCAGCAATAAGCAGATTGTGAAGGTACTTCCTAAATCACTTTTTTCAGCAGACCAGGGAGCTGAAACGCATTTTTAGGCTCCTGACCCGAAGTGGTTAAATGCACTCCTTGAAGAGAACCTCAGCGTGAGACTGTCTTCAGGGTATAGCTTGCTTATCGCAGTGCATCTGGGAAAATGGATTTCAAAATTCTTTTGGGTGGATTCTTTATA